GGACCTGGGGCAGTTTAGCCTGGAGAAAAGGAGGCTGGGGGGAGACCTTATCGCTCGCTACAACTACCTGAAAGGAGGTTGTAGCAAGGTGGGGGTCGGTCTCTTCTCCCAGGTAACAAGCGATAGGACAAGAGGAAACGGCCTCAATTATGCCAGGGGAGGTTTAGACTGGATATAAGAAATATTTTTCACTGAAAGCGTTATCAAACATTGGAACAGGCTGCCCAGGGAAGTGGTGGAATCGCCATCCCTGGAGGTATTTAAAAGATGGGTGGACATGGTGCTTAGGGACATGGTTTAGTGGTGGGTTCCGGCAGTGTGAGGTTGATGGTTGGACTCAATAACGTAAAGCTCTTTTCCAACCTATGATTCTGTCATTCTAAATTTCCCGTGCAGAGAAACACTTTCACAATTTGGGTCATCATCACTTCCCCTCCCTGTGCTTTTCAGCTCAACCACTTTTTTTTTTTCTTTTTTTTTTTTTTTTGTTTTTTGAGTTAGGACTAGGACCAGAACCGCACACAGCATTCCAGGAATATTTTAAGTTTTGCTTTCTTCTGCTTTCCTAACAAATCTTAGGATTCGGTTTGCTATTTTTGACCACTGGCATTGCCACAGAACTACCATTATAATCCTAGGAGCTCATTCATGTAACAGAAAAAACACATGTAGTATTATGATTCTCCCTTCGGATGCATTTTGTTAGATTTATCTCCATCCAATTTTATCTGACATTTTCCCACTTCACTACTCAGTACAAGGGCCCTCAACAATCCTTCACATGTGCTCCCAGGGATTTGGTCTCATCTGAAGCTGGGCACCTCGCTATCCGCCTCCTTTCCCAGAGCAGTGATACACACGCTGAGCAGCACGGCCCCGTGCGGCTCCACTGGTGACCGCCTCCGCAAACCCATCACAGCCGCCTCCTCTGCTTCCTGCTCGGCTGTTTGCTCAAGGGTAAGAGGAAAGACACTCACGTGGGCAGTTCATTTTTGTTGAGAATCTTTGCAGGGACTTTATCAAATGCCATTTGTAAATGCAATTAAGCGATGTCAATCCAACTCCCTTGCCCACACCCTCACTGGTCCCTTTAAAGAGCTCCAGCAGATTTTAGATTCATGATTCCTCTCTGAGAAAACTGTGCTGTCTTTTCCCCAGTACATCACGTTTCATCGTGTGCCCTTAATTCTTTTCTTCGGAACAATTTCTATTCAGTTGCCTGGCACAGACATCAGGCCTGCTGGTAACAACAGACATAATTACTCTGGATTATCACGTTATCCGTGAAGTACAAGGTAGTGGGCACAAGAGCTATAATAAACTGCACTGTCCCTCAGCTGGGCACGCTTGTGAGAGCCAAGATAATTTCCAGATGTCTCAGTATCGCAAGATACAAAGTTAGAGATAATGACCACTTTAGCTACCTCTATATCTTCTCTTTGTTTGACTAAAAAAAAATAATAAAGAAGGAAAGATTTGATAAGCTTATTTCTCCAGGGAAAAGACTGAAGGGGGCAGAAACATACAATTGATAGCAGAGCCTGCATTCAGCAAGCATCCTGACTGTGGGGAAAAAAGACAGGCTACAGGCAGAAAGCATCACATAAGCAGCAATACTATTCAGAGGAGGAGTTGATATAAAGAGGATTTATGGAGAGTGATCTGACCCCCAGCATTTTAAAAAATGCTGTCATGTAGCACTGCAAAACAATTCTGTTCCAGGGCATGTAGAAGAGGAGGCACTTGTGATAAACCGTCCTTTTAACAACACACTAAGATGCACTCCATTTGTTTCCCACACTCATAAACTCATATGACATTCACTGAATCTCAAAAACACTGGGACTTGACCAGTCGCCATTCAAATCCAATTTGGATATTTCAAAGTACAATGAAGAATTCATCGGCTAATCTTTTTGGACTTCATTTCCAAATTTAAGCATAACAAATTTTCGGCGTGGTTATTATATAATATCTAAATTTAAAAAAAAAATAGGAAAAAAAGGAGTTTATGAGCTTTGGACGAAGGGCAGGCAACTCAGGGGGACTACAAAGATGTCATGAGGTTATGCAGGGAGAAAATTACAAGGGCCAAAGCCCAACTAGAACTTAATCTGGCTACTGCTGTAAAAGACAATAAAAAACATTTCTATAAACATTTCTCTTCAAGAAAGGAGGACCAAGGAGAATCTCCATCCTTTACTGGATGCAGGGGGGAAACACAATGAAAAAGAATGAGGAAAAGGCCAAGGTACTTAGTGCCGCCTCTGCCTGTCTTTAATAGTAAGACCAGTTGCTCTCTGTGTACTCAGCCTCCTGAGCTGGAAGACAGGGGTGGGGAGCAGAATGAAGCTCCCATAATCTACAGGGAAGCTGTTAGCAACCTGCTACACCACTTAGACACACACGAGTCTATGGGGCCAGATGGGATCCACCCAAAGGTACTGAGGGAGCTGGCGGATGCGCTCACCAAGCCACTTTCTGTCATTTATCAGCACTCCTGGCTAACCAGGGAGATCCCAGTTGACTAGAAGTTAGCAAATGTGATGCCCATCTACAAGAAGGGCCACAAGGAGGATCCGGGGAACTACAGGACTGTCAGTCTGAGCTCGATGCCAGGGAAGGTTATGAAGCAGATCATCTTGAGTGCCATTACGTGGCACATGCAGGACAACCAGGTGATCAGGTGCAGTCAGCACGGGCTCATGAAAGGCAGGTCCTGCTTGACTAACCTGATCTCCTTCCATGACAAGGTGACCCACTGAAATGGATAAGGGAAAGGCTGTGGATGTTGTCTACCTAGACTTTCGTAAAGCCTTTGACACTATTTCCCACAGCATTCTCCTGGAGTGGCTTGGATAGGCATACTCTTTGCTGTGTAACAAAAATGGCTGGATGGCCAGGCCCAAAGAGTTGTGGTGAATGAAGTCAAATCCAGTTGGCGGCCAGTCACAAGTGGTTTTCCCCAGGGCTCAGTATTGGGGCCAGTTCTGTTCAATATCTTTACCAATGACCTGCACAAGGGGATCAAGTGCACTCTCAGTAACTTTGCAGACAACACCGAGTTGGGCAGGAGAGTTGATCTGCTTGAGGGTAGGATGGCTCTACAGAGGGATCTGGATAGGCTGGGTCAATGAGCCAAGTTGTGCCACGGGAGGTTTAGATTGGATATCAGGAAAGGCTTCTTCACCGAAAGAGTTATCAAGCATTGGAACAGGCTGCCCAGGGAAGTGGTTGAGTCACCATCCCTGGAGGTATTTAAAGGACATGTAGATGCGGTGATTAGGGACATGGGTTTAGTGGTGGACTTGGCACTGTTGGGTTAACGGTTGGATTTGATGATCTTGAAGGTCTTTTCCAACCTAAATGATTATATGATTCTATAATATTTAACAGCATATATATTGTTATATTTAAGAGGAGTCAGAGCGCATCTTGCTTTGGAAATCATGCATTAGAAATTTTATTTTTAGAATTCAAGGTTTTAGTCGTCCTGCAACAGACATATCTATTTTGCCATAAAATCAACCAAATCTGATGACGCTAGTGGCCTGCCTACTCCAGTACCCCATCACTGACAGTGATCGACAGCAAGTGCCTAGAGAAGACTATAAGACAAATGTAAATATAAGGAGATACTTCCTCAGCATATTCCTCCAGCCTACAACAATTTGTACTCCTGCAACTTCCTAAGCTTGTAATTCATATCTGTATATTTAATAGTCTTTGATGGATTTCTTCCAAGAATGTGTTCAACAGATTTTGAATCCACGTACACTGCTTATATCCACAGTGCCCTGTGGGAAGAAGCTCCATACTCTGTGTGAAGCAGCAGCTATACCCAACTGATCTTAACTAGTTCCTTATTCTTATAGTGGAAGAGAGAGTGAGCAGCTCTCCGCACACTTTTTCCATGCCAGACCCCTTTGAACTCTTGGGCAAATACCCCTTGATCTGACAACCTGCCACTTTTAATTTTGTCAGCTGATCTATAATCCTGTCTACCAATACTTCAGTCTAAAAAAAAAAAACCACCCCAAACACACACAAAAAACAAAACACACAAAAAACCTCAAGCAACAAACCCCCTCTCCTGAGTTAACACACACACAGAATAGTGATACAGCATTTTTGTTACTGCTCTATGTGCCCCTAATTTTTCTTTCACTTTTTCTCCATCCACATATTTCACAGATTCTCTGGTATCCTTCTTTCCTCTTGATGCCTGGAAAAAATTACTAGTTTTTATGCCTGCATCTTCATCATATCTTACCTTTGTGCCAGCGTGTTAATATTCAGATTCACCTTTACATCTACATTACCAGCTCCTTTACTTATGCCTCACCACCCCCTCCGGGTGCTTCCCAGTGTCTCCCCACCCCTATGTCAGCGAATACCATGTACACTTCCTTCATATCACCTGCTTTCCTCCACAGCCAGCCACCCTCCCACAGCCAGTCTGTTCCTCCACCTAATCTTGCGCTTAGTCCCTTCTCTCACTTCACAGGTTTCAAATCCTTCTTATTCCTTCCCCCATCAGACATTTCAAAGACTACTAACTCAGTGAAAGATGACAAGCTCTGGCCTCTCCCACCTTCCTTTCCCTGCAAATACCTATCTTTATTTTTCACACTGTAACCATTACTGATGCGTTCAACCTGCTGCCTCTATCCCCTCCAGGGGCTGCCATGATTGCCTCCTCTTCTCTTCTCTCCTCTGCAACCCCTAGCCTTTGATGCCTTCCCTTCCCAAAAAAAACTACTTATTTTGTTTCAGCACGCCGCCTCTCTGGGACAGATGCCTACTTTGTGTTTGAAAGAGCACCTGGCACGCTGTGGGCATAAACAGACAAGTAACTGTAGATCTGACATCGCGATTGCAGCAAGGCCGACACAGAGCAGCAACAGGGAGGCTGCCCTAGGACAGGGTGTAGCGAGAGAGCTGAAAAATACAGGATCTTAAAAGTCGCTGATGATCAAGAACGCCACCCAAAGGCTTACCTTCTCACACCACGCAGCCCTTCGGTGTGTTACAAGCTTATGCAGTTGGTCACGAAGAGTCATTACATCTCTGGATAATCTGTCTATTTGCCCAGTCAGACTGTCAGCCCAGGGGCAACACGAGGTCACCGTTGGTGGCCCGCTTTTCTCTGCATGAGTGTCCTGGGACTTGCACATATTTCCCTCTTCAGCCATATTGTCTAACACAGTTTCCTAAAGGAAAAACAGAAAAAGGTTGCTTT